TTGGCGCCGAGACTCTTTCTGGTGCTATCCTCAACCAGTTGAATGAGACTGTGACTTCCGAAGGAAAGCTTAAGTTTTCGCTCTTCGCTGGAAGTTACGACACTTTCCTTGCTTTCTTCGGTCTTGCGGATCTTCTCGATGTGTCTCCCAACTTCTACGGTCTGCCAGATTACGCTTCTACCATGGCTTTCGAGCTCTTCACCGATGATGACAGAGACAGTTTCCCCTCAGACCCACAAGCAGACCTTCGAGTCCGCTGGCTCTTCCGCAACAGTACAGCCGGCGATCTCGAGACTTACCCTCTCTTTGGAACTGGCGAGGACTCTCTCCCTTGGTCAAAGTTCGTGACCGAGATTGAGAAGCGTGCTATTACTAATGTTGGAGACTGGTGCACCAAGTGTGGCGCCGAAGAAGATTTCTGTGCCGCATACAAGGATGACGATGAGAGTGCTGAGGGCGAGAGTGAGAACAAGACCTCCAGGAAGGGCGGCATGTCCAATGCCGTTGCTGGTGTCATTGGTGCCATGGTGACTCTTGGTGTTGTTGCCATCGTTGGAGCTGCCGCCTTCGTTATCATGAGACGCAAGCGAACTGCCCCTGCTGGAGAGAAGAGCAGTGTTCGCAGTGGAAGCACTGATGGAAATGCGGCCAAGGTTTAAGATTCATACGACATGGAATGACTATATAAAAGATTGTGTATAAGCTAATGAATGACGATTGATACTCCCCATCGCTAATATCCACTTCAATTTGTCTCCAAGGCAGATGTCTGTCGAGTCGCCCTATCGACGATAGTAAGGGCACCTTGAAGCTTCTCAATATCATGCTCCAGCTCTTTACGTCTCCTGGCAGTGTTCTCATTCTCTCCGCCGACAATCTTCATCTCATCTTCCGAGAGACTAAGGATTCGGTTGGTGTTGAGGCCTAAAACAGGTCCGTCTTGACCAGAGATGAACGACTCAATGACGGTGTTATTGATGGTACGAATAAAGGCGTCGAGAGAGAGCTAAAGGGGTTAACAATTGTTGAAACTGAAGGTATAGTCTACGGCACATACCTTGTAATAAACCTTGAGAACATCGTGAACATCAACAGCCATGTTCTTGCCCAGACTGGGGTGGACAGATTCGAAACACTTGGGAAGATCAAGGTGTCCCGGTTCGCAATCTTGCGAAACACTTGTGAATCCCTCATAGAATCGTAGGATTCTCCAACCGTGAATCTCGTCCCCAAAGCGAGGACCAGTGGATTGCAGTCGCACGCACTTCGTCTCCATCTCGCACTGAGACTTACATAAGTCTTCTGTTCTCTGCATGGATTCTTTCCACGATGCCTCCAAGAGCGCGGTCAACTCTCTCGACAGAGTTGACGTGTCACTTTCCGCAGGACAGACATCGTTGAGAATGGAGGCAGTGCATCGACTTACGGCTTGTGCGACTCGCGCAAGGTGGATGTTCGCGATGTGTCCCCATTTCTTGACTTGCTCTCGGTAAATATCTGGGTAGATATCGGGGTTGATGATTCCATCCAGGAGAGATCCCTGATAGAGCGCTAGCTTGTCTTGAATGGCACCCATAAGATTTCTTGTGTCTTGAATGTGTGACAAGCCCGGGAACGCCTTGTCAAGTGAAGAATCGATCTTCGTTTTATTGACATTGCGAACACGCGGGGGTAAATACTTTTCTTCGGCCCTCGCCTGTGTCTCAAGAGCAAGATGTTCATCTAGCAGGACGCGAGGATCAACATCAATGTCCTCAAACTCCCATGTACCGCCCCGTGCTCGCATGAACTTGTCAAACTCAGCGTTCAAGCGACTGACTTCTCTGCGAAGCTCCATGCTGTGGTCAAGAAAACCTGGACGGTCCAAAGCCGTCTGAGCCATCTCTTCATATTTTCGGACAGTGGCAACAACGAATTGCTGTCTTGCGGCATGGCTAGTGCGAGGCTCACCAAGCATGGTCTTCTCGTGTAGCCTCTCTTCGAGGTTATGCTGAATTGTGCTGCGGAGTGTTGGGAAGCAATCTCGTATCTTGGAGCTCAAAAGAGTACCGAGGTATGACTTGGCTGCAGTTGAGCCCAGACGGCTTTGAGAAACAGAGTTCCAGGGGCTCTTGCTAAATAGTTTCTTCTCTGCGGCGCTGAGGTCGAAAGAATCTGGATCTTTGTCTGCTCGATTGCGAACCAAGAACCAGCCACCAGTTAGGCGTCCGAGGCTATGAGTAGAGTTACCAGTTGCGATGGATACAATCTGACTCAATATTAGCATGGTTTATAGAGCATATATGGTTAACTTGCCCTCTTGGTCGCTTCTGGCTCATGCTGAACCATATCGCATTTTGTGAAAACACCAACGAAGCGGTTTTGCTTGATGGGCTTCTTGGCCAGCCTCAAAATCTCTTGTCGGTCAAAGTCTGTAGGTGCATCAATAACGCAGCTTCAGTTGTTAGTATGAGCAATCACTAATACCATGCCAATCTGACTCACATAACGATGTTGTCTTCATTGTTCATGTACTCCTTGACCATAGCCTCGACCTTGGCTTGATCTGTCTCGTTAACGGCAGAAGCATTCTGAAATGTGCCTGGAAGATCGAGAATACTGAAATAGGAGCGGTGGGGGCCTGACAACTCGATCTTAAGGACTTCCGCTACGAAGTTCTTTCTGTCTTCTCCTAGACCAGTTCGAAGACCCATGAATTCAGATGATATCTGTGGCTGTCAGTTCGTGCCTCTGAGAGATGGGAGATTACTTACCTCATCAATGACTTTGGCAAATCTCTCCTTGGTCAGGATCTTGCCGCTGCACTCATAGTTCTTGATGTTGTCAGAAGCAGGATCCAAACCAGGAACATCAACTTCAGCAGGATCAATGGTAATGCGGAACGAGTCGTCACTGTCCGGTTCTGTGCGACGAGAGACAATGCGTGTAGGGAACCGGGTACAGCAGCCACTGTCAACTGGGAAAGGGATTCCAGTCAAGCTTTGAAGGAGAGACGACTTTCCAGAGGATTGTCCTCCCACAATGATGAGCTATCATTTGTAAGTAATGTGAGAGTCCAAAAGGTCTAAGTTTACATACCTGAGGAATGCTCAAGTCACCGGCACCAAAGGATTGCAGAGCATCAATTGCATCAAACAAAATGCGGTTGTGCTGACTATCAAAGGGATCTTCAGGCATGACCTCTTGATTGGAATCATCGCGAGGTCGAGGTGAAGAAATTGAAGTTGGAGAAGGATCATAAAACACGTCTCCAAGGCTGGAATCGGTTGGAAACTTTCCAATCACCTTTCTAGGGCTCTCCTTGCCGGAATTGAGGCTATCAAAGCCTTTGTAGGGCGTTCGGGGAGGAGTATCAAGAGCGTGGGGATGCATAGAGAGAACTTCAACAGGTCCAGCCATGATGAATTGATGAGAGTAATAGATGAAAATTGAAATAACAAAGGAAAGATTCAGACGAGGGTATCTTGATAGGAAATTGAAGCTGAGAAATGGATTGCCGTCTATGACTGTCGGCGGGACTTGAGCAGATTTATATCTTCCACGAAGACTTGGTCATCCCATCAACGATAGCCATAGCAGCTTTTCTGTAGATTGACACAAGCCCGCAGACTTTACTGCCATCGCACCAGCTTCCCATGCAACTACGCGCCGGCCACCGGTTCACCTCCGCCGGGAGTCAAGGATTTATTCAGCTCGAGCATATCTATTGCCATATCAAGACATCTCGGGAAGCAGTTTCGGGCAAAGATCTTTCTTGGCATGTTAGAGATGACTTCTCAACCAACAATTGCGGAATATTGGTCGCACGATGCAGGTCGTGGCGGCCATTGTAGACCAGCATAAGAGCAAAAATAAGGACCAGAATAGTTCCCAGATAGCATAGAGTTCAGGTGAAGGTCAAGAAGGAATCAACCGGCAGGTTTCGAAACGCCAAAACTTGACCTCATTGGCCGCTTTAGCATATGCTGTTGGTTGCTGCAAGCACTCAGTCAGCTATCTGCAGGGGGTTGAGCGCATAGCTGAGAGAGGCGAGAGATAACTCAAAGAGGCAACTCGCAAGATGAAATGTTTCATCTTATCGGTCTACTTCCCTGCGGTTTTGGAAACAGCAAGGGAAATGTTGTATTTATAACAGGCCGGGGTAGCAAGGCTGCTCTCAGCTGTGCGAGAACTTCACTGTTGAGGGATACTGGGACAGATGTCGCAATCAAGACCGAGATTGACGACCCTGTGACTTGCAAGCGCCGTTGATAAACAAAGGTGACGAGATCCCAGAAACAACGCATCCTAAGGGTCATTATACTGGCCGGAGAAGAAACACATCAACCAACAGCCAACAACGGCGGTTGTTCAGCGCGAACAGCCAATCATATTTGACCATGCCGTCTTCAACTTGAATCCAGCGAGATGTCTCCAAATCTAGCGTTGTTGTCGCTGCCATTTTGGCCTTTTAGGTGATTGTTGGTCTCATCTTTCACTCTCCATTGTGTTTTATCAAGAGCTAGGGGATGAAACAGAACTTGGAGTAGCTTTGGAATGATTTAGAAGAAAATCAGCCGGCTCTTTGATGAATGGTTTCACCATGTATAGTTGTGCTGTTGGCTACTGGATGTGGCAAAGCATTGCAACTATTGTTCACAAAACCGAGCTGAAATTGGCGAGAGCTGTTAGCTAGCACAATTTTTTTTTGGATCGACGTGACATGAGACGCAGCTCATTTTGTGCACTATTAACAAGAAACTTGATAATGAATTGAAGAAAGTCGATATCATCTCGGGGAAACTTGCTGATGATACAGTATGAATGGATGGATCAATTGAACTTGGCCATGGATTGAGGACAGAAGGTACAGGGTAGGCAGCCCCACCTAGAAACAGCACCGTCACTTTCGACTGAAGCTCAAAATTTCAACATTTACATCACCAACGACTTCTCGGCCGTTGCATCACCACATCACAAGCCGCAGCCTCGATTCTGCGCGCTCTAACGAAATGAACACAATGTTATCTTCTATCACGCGCCTCGCGCGCCCAGTCCTGGCCAAGCCCCTCGCTCAATCGCCCAGGTAAGCTCATCCACATGCTTCTATCAAACCATCACTAATTCCATCAGGACATTCACAACCCTCGTTCCTCTCCGACCCTCGCTCACTCCCATGAACGGCGCTATCCGACGAACAGTTCTCCCCTCAAGCTTCACCCCCTCGACAGCCGCATCAGCCGATATCGTTCCTTCGAGCGCCATCTCAGCACACCCTGCCCTCGGCGATATGCAGATTCGCTGCGGACCCCGAAATACCATGAATGGACATACGAGGCTGGTTCAGAAGCGCAGACATGGATTCCTATGTCGCAAGCGAAGTAAGACGGGGAGGAAGATTCTCCTCAGAAGGAAGATCAAGGGCCGAAGGCATATCGCTCAGTAAGCCTGTGAATGTGGCACGAGGAGGTTGGAGGGCATGTGTCAATGAAGCATGAGCGAATTGTGTACGATACCAGAGAAGAGAGCGGAGACTTTGGGTGCAGATGCCTTAGTCTCTCTCGTGATACAAATCTGTACAAAGACCTACCAAAAGAAACAAATGATCTTGCATTCTCACATCTCGGCGGAGTACCGAACTTGCATATTGCAGCTGAAGTCTAAACCAGGGGGACAATATCACGCACTTTTACGAAGGACCAGTTCCAGAACATTTCGGAATTTCAGAAAGGCTGACAGCCTGATGACGCTGGTCGACGTCGGTGTTGCAGCAAGGCCAGCAGTGCAGAAAGCTCCGAACTATCGCACCTGACTTCGGAGAAAGGCTCAAATTAGAAAGATGAGATTCAGTTCCGATAGACAGATGCAGTCCTGATTCGGATTCACCGGAGCTACCGTTAGTCAACACCATCACGATGTGCGGATAGTTCGAAACCCCGCATTCTCGACTGAGAATCACAGGCTTCTTTTCAGGCACAAAGCGCACTGACTTGGGTCTTATTCCTCGGCTTGGATTTTCTAGTGTGGTGGCCTGCATGTTCTTGGTGTGCCGATCATCAGGTACGCAGTAAGCGGAGAAGCAGGCTGTGAATTGGAGATGTCTATCACTGAGATTTGGCAAGGCACTCGTTGAATGAATTGATAAGAAATAGTTTGACGCGGCAAACCAATTGAAAATTCTGATAAAGAAATGTATGGCTTCGAATGTGTTATCACAAGTCTATAGATGCAATTGCTATTATCATGGATGGGTATCATCTGGCCTCAGTTATTGAAAGTGATGATGATGACACTAGCGTTCAAGGGATGCAGCTTATGCCGGCCCGCCTTGCATTAAGAGGATGAGATGGTGTGAAAGGTGATGAAAGAGGTAGGTGTCAAGACTCGATACTGCAGCTGAAATGTAAGATGTGAATTAATTCAAGTAATCAGAGACATTTCATGTGATGATGCTGTACTACCCATAATCTCATGTTCAATCGACACCATATTCTTTTGTCGAGATTGAGAGATACGAATATACTCGGATAACTTTCGTCTGATAAAATGCCAGATTGACATTTAATTAATCGAGTAAGTAACCTCGATGCAGAATTACCGCAATTACTGCACTTCCTGGGTTAGGTATCGTGTTCCCCAGATATCGGCACTTGACTACTACTCCAGATCAGTTAAACCGGTTTTCCCACACATAATAAACCCCACCTGACAAAAGGTCCCTTGTCAATAAAAAAAAAGCAAACCTTGTCAATCCGTAAAGTCAAACGCTGCACGCTATGGAAAACTTGATAGCGGTCAAGGATGAACTGGATTGAGCCGAAAAGGTTGCAACATGTTTCGGGGTATACTTCCGTTGATCGGCTCTGCAAGTGATAGAGGTGAATGTTTCTGTGAAAGATGGTTGGTCAGTCGACTCGATGTAGCTCGGGCGGTAAATCGTAACGTTTTATCTGGTAGTTTGTACTATAATTGGTTTGCTCATCACTGTGACACCAGAACTGTCATCGAATTATTGGTTATCGACCAACCACTCTTACGATTCATACGAATCACCAGACTATTCTTCTTTTTTTCCTTTCTCCCCTAATTTCTCTCACACTCTTTCAAAGCCCAGAGCCCTACAAGTCCCAACATTTTGACAGTCCCCATCGCAATGTAACAGAGACTAAACAAAACCCCTGTAGCCCACCATCTTGATCACGACCCTCACGTGGTCCGAGATCGTCGTTACCTGTAAGGGAAGCTCACCCGGGCCCAACGACAAACGGACCAAGGAAAAATGCTGTCAGAGCCCGATGAAGGGGACCTTGTCTGCTGGGATCATGGAGCCAAGAATGCGGGGTGGGCAGTGTAGAACACACCACGAAGGATTAGACTGCCGCGAAAGCTTCATTTCCGCTGTTCGGCCCTCCCTTGGCTGGGCTGGGGCGGCGGTTATTACACCGACGACCTGAGGGTTTGCCAAGATGGATGGGGGGAGCTAGATATGGGTGGATGTCTGAATGTGATGTGATGGGAAGGGGAAGAGATGGGATCAGCGACTGAGGGTGGGCGGGTATTGTGATGGGGAGCTAGCTGAAGGAAGAAAAAAAAAAGATATATAAACGTCTGGTTCTTCTCACGATGCCGATCTCTCAGTAGATCTCAAGGACAGCTTCAGCTTCAGCTTCAAGAGCATCTCCAGGAGTTGCACCTCGCCAGCCTATCCTCACCTACACCCATCCCTTCTTGGACCATATTCTTGTCACGATGCTTCTTCTACCACTCCTCTCGGCCATTACCCTCGCGGTAGCTAGCCCTGTAGCTCTCGACGACTACGTCAACTCTCTCGAGGAGCGAGGTAAACATAACCCCTTCCCAATTCCTTCATAAGCTGACATCCCCAGCTGTTGGTGTCACTACAACCGACTTCAGCAACTTCAAGTTCTACATCCAGCACGGCGCCGCAGCTTACTGCAATTCTGAAGCCGCAGCTGGTTCAAAGATCACCTGCTCCAACAATGGCTGTCCAACCGTTCAGGGCAACGGAGCTACCATCGTGACATCTTTCGTGTAAGTCCAAACCTGCGCAAACACATCACATCACATCACACACTTACTAACACACCCAGTGGCTCCAAGACAGGTATCGGTGGCTACGTCGCCACAGACTCTGCCCGCAAGGAAATCGTCGTCTCGTTCCGCGGAAGCATCAATATTCGAAACTGGCTTACCAACCTCGACTTCGGCCAGGAAGACTGCAGTCTCGTCTCTGGATGTGGTGTACACTCTGGCTTCCAGCGAGCCTGGAATGAGATCTCGTCTCAAGCAACCGCTGCTGTTGCCTCCGCTCGCAAGGCGAACCCTTCTTTCAAGGTCATCTCTACAGGCCACTCCCTCGGAGGTGCTGTGGCTGTCCTTGCTGCCGCAAACTTGAGAGTCGGTGGAACACCCGTCGATATTTACACCTACGGTTCTCCCCGTGTCGGAAACGCACAGCTCTCATCCTTCGTCTCAAACCAGGCTGGTGGAGAGTATCGCGTTACACACGCCGATGACCCCGTCCCTCGTCTCCCTCCCCTGATCTTCGGATACAGACACACGACTCCTGAGTTCTGGCTGTCCGGCGGTGGTGGCGATAAGGTCGACTACACTATCAGCGATGTCAAGGTCTGTGAGGGTGCTGCCAACCTTGGATGCAACGGTGGAACTCTTGGCTTGGACATTGCTGCTCATCTGCATTACTTCCAGGCGACTGACGCCTGTAACGCTGGCGGATTCTCCTGGCGACGATACAGAAGCGCTGAGAGCGTCGACAAGAGGGCCACCATGACTGATGCTGAGCTTGAGAAGAAGCTGAACTCTTACGTCCAGATGGATAAGGAGTATGTGAAGAATAACCAGGCCCGCACTTAACCAGGGCATGAGGTTTAATGGGAAATGGCATGATTCATGAACGAAACCATAGTACATATGATGCAAATAGGATATAAAAACACCTTTCATTCACTAGCTTTACACAATACCGTGCGCCATGCAATGCCCTGCCACTGACTCAAAGGCCATGTTTCATAACTCCAGACACCAGTCACCACGCGCTGCTGTATCAAGGATTAATCGTAAGATCCCTCTACCATCATGCCCTGAGCATTAGGGACCCCAACGAGAATGACACCCCGAGGCACTCGGACCTCTTTGACCTTCATGCATCCAAAAACGTTGACCTCTCGGATCTTGGGACAAGATCGGAAGATGGACCCCAAAATGAAATCGGTCACCTCTTCGCAGAAGCTGATTTCCAACTCCTTCAGCTCTGGATACTGAGCGTCTTCGTGAAAGACCTCTTCAAAAGCCTCACGTGAGATATGACGACAAGCGTGAATGTTGAGGTACTGAAGCTTCTCACCCGAATGGGCCATCAAGGCTTTGAAGCCCTCGCTGCAGAGTCCAACGCTATCTGGGTTCTCCCGAGGTTTACTTGCATCAATCTGGCGACATTTCTGGAGATCCACAAAGCGCAAGGGGGGATTGGCCCATTTGGTAAAAAGATCAACAAAACCCTGGTCCGTCATAAACTCGCTGTCCGTTATTCGGAACTTGGAAAGGGAGCGACAATGCTCGTGAATAGCCTGCAACAGCGTGTCGTCAACTTCGGGAACAATCTTCAGAGAAAAGGTCTTGAGATTGGCACCGATTTTCGAGACGACTTCGATGTAAGCGTCAGATTCAGTCTTGTGCTGTAGCTGAAGTCCAAGATGCTCCAGAGACGACAAACTTGCAATCGTTTTGACACCGTCGTTGTTCAGCTTTTGGTTGTTCTCAACCTTGAGTCGCTTGAGGTTGGGGCAATGATCCCTCAGCGTGGCTATGGTTTCGTCTCCAAAGTGATTGTCTGTGTAATAGACTTGGATGCCCTTCAGCTTCTCGCCCTTCTCCTGGATGAACTTATGCCACTTCTCATCGCTCAAAAGATTGGCTCCGTGAAGGTAGAATGTTTCGAGATTGATGTCACGGGACAAGAGGTAATCCATGACTTCGTCCTTGAACTGGATGCCACATCGGATCTTGAGATTTTTGAGTTTCGAAGCCGTCTGAAAGATGGAAATGTAATCTTGTTCACCAAGCTTTGCGCCATCATAGATGTGGAGGTCCTCGGTGCCGGGCTGGACGAAAAGTGGCAAAGTCTCTGGCTTGAGGAGTCGACGCTTGGAGAACATGCGTGCAATTTTGTCGACCAAATGATCAGGAAGGTCCCCAAGACTGTCAGCCAGATCGACGTTCTTGGCCAGAGTCTGTACACACAGAGTAGCCAAGCTCTTGGTACCAACGTCACCGTCAAGTATCCGACTTTGAATTGCGCGACGTCTTCCAACAGGACCCGTATTGACAGGCTTCTTCGGCTTTTTCTTTCGGTCACCTTCTCGTTCTTTTGCTATCTCTCGACCGCAAGGAGGACAAAGAAGCCCC